AAAATAGATGAGTTAAGTATCTTGTATCTCTCAATGTAGCCTAAGTCCATCACAGGTGGAATTGGATCCTATGGAAGGGATATTAGATTATGCTGGGGAAGGACTGGGTGGCCCTGTGGCGGCACCTAATTGTATGGTGGGGGCATCAGATTGTACTGTGGCGATGCCAGATGATACGTGGAGTAAAGTTATACCAAGGTGGCACTGGATCTTTCCGTTGTAGGGGTGACTTATACTGTGGGAGTGGTGGAGGGTTAGGCAGCTCCCTCGTCTCTTCCCTAGCCTACTAGGCAGAGATGAGTCTCTTAAACGTCTCGAAGAGCCGGTCGACATCCTTTCGAAGCGATCAATCCTGGGCTGCTATATTCAGCAGGGGCTTTTATCTCCTCATGTCTTTGTACCTGCATTTTATAAGGAAATGTTGAATGTCAGGTTGTATTGAATAATTCAAATATTTGTGCAAGAAATGGCTCCGAGGAATGCAGCTGTGATATCAACTGTAAAGGCCCAATACTCAATTTTAAAAAAATTATTGAATTGGTTTATGGTTTACATTCCTTGTACAGTAAATCAGAATGCCCAATAGAGTTATGAGAATGTCCTTTTTGGAAATTAAAATAACAAAATAGAAAAAAACGTGACTGAAATCCTATAGGGTTAACCTCTGTTGGACAACTCCAATGGGATGCGGGAGGCAACGTTTAGTCATAACCATCTTGCTGCTCAGGATCTAGATTTTTGTCTTTCTAATCTAAAATGGTTAAATAAGGGAGATGAGCTACATTAACCTAGTAAGAATGTCAGCACTTAACACCGATACGGAAAATCAAAGATTAGTAAAAATTGTAAAACAACCTATGGAGTTATTATCCTTTTTTAGGTAAATTCATTTAATTTAAAAACATAATTTTCATACTCACCTTTATGAATTTCTAAAATCGACATATGAAGAAAATAATCAAGATAAGACTTTATTATACATGTAAAGGAATGGTAATAGTAAACATTACCTTTTTACCTACTTACCAGTACTTCTGGGGGTCCATAGGGATTCTCCTTACACGTGGATCAAATATCCAATTTATCAATTAACTAGCTGTCCTCATACCCCGTCTAGTGATGAGCACCAAATGTACCACCCCCTTAATACCCCATCCGATATGAAGGTGAATTATACCTCCTAACTCCTTCCGGTATAGGACTTCTCAGTCTCGTCTGAATGAGATAATATCCACAGTAGGGTTGTCCTATGCACCGGGTTCGTATATCCTTTCCCATGATACCCGATAAGCCCTTTAACAAACAGATTTACATCATCTGCCAGTCACCATTCACGCACAAACAACCCATTCCATATTTATATCACAATGAAACGATAATTAAACATAAATTATGAATTAATAGATTAACAACTAAGGGAGATACAATTAAAGCATTCATTGCAAATCAATTGACAATTAGGGACAAAATGGGTAGATGAACTAATAAACGCAAAAATAATTAAAACCAATCAATTAAAGCATATGATTGTAAACAATAAATAATTTAGGCAACGTAGGAATAAATAAGCAACACATATAAGGTAGGACACTTATATACTGACTGGTTTCAGCTCCACTAGTGACCTGTAATTAATTTAGAATCTATGATTTTTTATAAAAATATCATTATTAATTATTAAAATTTAATTTACCGTAACGGAAGAAAATGATAGAGGATTTTTATCGCAGTCGGTGTTCAAAACACCATCTTTTCATTGCGCTTCCTGATAGTTTTGGGTTTTATGGATTTTTCTGCAAATCAAAACCACGCATTACGTATCCAGAATACCCCAAAAGGCCAAAATAGCATTTAAATTTTTCAACCAGTTTAGGGTTCC